CAGAGCGGGAGCGTAAGCAGGTGCAGTGCTGAGCCCCCAGATGGCGTCAACGGCATTCCTGGCCGGTCTTGCCGGGCTCCGGGTCACTTCGACAAAGGGCAAGGAGAGGCACCTGCTGTGGCCGCTGGCACCGGCTGCCGGGAGGATCTGCCCGTCAGACGGACACGCTGCGGAGCAGAGGGAGAGGCGCGAACTTCGTCACTGGCACACTGACATAAATCGGAGTTGAGATTGAATGTCGCCGGCCGTTTGCTGGCTCAGTGGTCTTTTCCAAGCACAAGTGGCAAGACAGAATGACAACCACACAGCTGTGGCAGATCCAAGGCAGGCTGCCAGGTGACCCTGAGCAACCGGGAAGGGAGCGATCCCGCCCCAGCCAGGAAGGGCTGGTTCACTGCGGCACACCTGAACAAGAACATTCCGGAGTCTGGTTTGGCTCCCCCTTTACTCTCTCCTTTGCTTATGTGTCAACATGGTGAATAAGCGGTGGATGACAAGAACACAGGGTTTCAAAAATGTGAATTATCTGGTTGGGATTTTGGGGGATTTTGTTTTTGGTGTAGGCATCGAGTGTAGTGAGCAGAAGATCTCAGATAAAACCAGAAATTTTCATGACATGAACTTCAGCTTTGCACATATCACGCCCAATCATCAAATGAACAAAAGCTATGCACAGATGTATTTACTAATTGGCAAGCATAGGGTCACCTAACTGCCGGTACCAAGGGAAATGGTCAAATGCATGAAATCCTTTGGGACTGGCTCAGGCATTTGTTATTTCACAAGTGAAGGAGATGGAAAGAGAAACATACTTTCTGGAAAAGAAGGAGCTTGGGGAAAACATTTTGGTTACTTAGAATAGGTCCAATGAGCATCACTGAAATTGCACAAACATCTTAGTTCTTAAGTTAATTGGAGACAACTCAGTGCACACTGGCCAAGTCTGAGGTTTTCAACAGAAGCTACATGATTTTACGAGTCTGAGCCCGAGGCTCTGACCCGGGCAGATAGAACCGTGTGACATTAGCCCAGAGGTTTAGGGACAGTTTCTGTGAAAGCGGCCAAGAAGAGGCAGCAGCCGAACAGGCCTGATATTTCAGGGTTTGCTCTAACTAGCTGCCTAACCTACAGCCCTTCACTTACCTCTCCAGGCCTCAGTTTCTCGTCTCTGAAATACAGGGTTTGCACCAGCACTTCTCATCTGGCAACAGACAGCAACGTCTGGGACATTTTGTCCTCACTCGGGGGGCAGGCGTGTTCCTGGCATCCAGCGGGGAGACACCAGGATGCTGCTGGGTTGAAGGACCTGTCTGTAACTAGATTGGACTTGACTTTCAACCAGGTAGCACCCAACCCAAGTGTCCTGCTATTCCAGAGATAGCATTTCAATACCTCCCTTCCATGTCCCTTATTTTTAAACTGCCCCAAATTATTGATCTTTAGTATAAGTAATAACTTGTATATATTACCAAAAATACATGGGTAATAAGCACTTTTTAAAAATCCTTACCCAAGGACATGTTCATTGATTTTAGAGAAAGAAGAAAGGGGGGCCCGAAAAGAGGAGAAATATATTCAATGTTTAGAACAACGACTTTTAATTTTAGAATAAAGCTTCCTGAGTCTTCAGGAAGTTTCTCAATGAATAATTACAGCCACAGCTGGTGCTGATTCCAAACCTCCCAGAGTGTAAGACCTATCCTAGCATTAAAGTTCATCTTTTCGGCGGCTCCCTGAAGAGCTCTTTGCGGGATGCATGATTTCATCGGACAACATCTTCGGCGCCGAAAAAGATTCAAAGCCTCTGGAGGTCCTGGGCTGCAGGAACCAGGACAGCAAGGCCTTCTGCGTATGACTGTGGCTGTTGGGTCTGCCCACAGATTAAAAATAAAATAAAGCAAAATATGTTTTCCCCACAAAATGCCCTTCCACGTGCGTCTTTTCCAATAGAGGCTTGTTGAGAAAATCCGCTTTCCCTTTGCTGACCCCCACCCTTCCCCCCGAAGCCTGAGTCAGGTGCCCCCACTGCCTGGTACTTCCAGAAAACCCCCTGCTCCTGGTGGCATTGAACTTCTCCCTCTTCCCCGGAAGTTCTGCGAGTCTTTCTGCTCATCTTCTTTCTACCTGAATTCGTCTTTCGCAGGAGAAGGAAGAGCTCCTGGAGGCACTGAGGATGTCAGTGAGATGCTTTGTGATTTTCTTCAATGACATAATGAGGGCAGATGTGGTGACACAGGGGGCCATTGTCCTCATGCAAACCGGCTGCTGGGGAGGCTAGGACTCTTGCTCTGTGGGGAGCTGGGATGTTTACTTGACAAGAGAAGAGTTTGGGGTCAAAGAAGGCCGCCTTCAAATAGCTGGAGTTCTGTTTGGAAAAGTTTTAACTTAACCTACCTGACCCTAAAGGAGAGAGCAATGCCCAAGCATGTGGAGGTTTGAGGGATGAGTCCTGGCGCAGCGCAAGGACGCTCTTTCCAGCGCTCGACCACGTCCACAGGCAGCGGGCTCGCACAGCGCAGCAAGAGCCTGTGTTTGCTGTGAGCGGGTGGCACGTGGCGTGGAACGGCAGGGGTGAGCAAGTGAAGCACCAGGCAGTGCTGCTCCGATGTCTTCTTCTGCGAACCCACAACTGTGGGTGAAGGCAGCTCTCCTGCCACTGTGCCTGGCCACAGGGCCCCACACCCCAACACCTGGCAGTGAGGACAGAGGGTGAAGCAGACGAAGGTGAGCGCAAGCTGGACGGGGACAGCAAGGAGCAGGGAAAAGGGCAGGAGGAGAGGAGGGAGCAAGGCCATCTCGGGAATGACTACTGGCCACTGTGACCATCGCCGCCCTGCACAATGTCCACCCAGCGGCTCTAATCTGAACGCGGTCACCAACCGAGAAAAAAAGTTAGGTGCTTGCCTGGGTGACGTGGGTGCTCTAGGCCAAGGCTGGACCAGGGTCTGGCTGTGGGGCCAACCCCCATCCCACCCTGCCTGTCCTCATTGCCCCTGAGAGTCACCTAGAGAGCACACATCACTGTGAGACAGCCTGCCTTCCGTCACCCTGACCTCAAGCAGCAGCATCTGAGCTGCATGGTGCCTTTTCGCCACAACAGGCAGCAACTGCTGACACCACCCTGCATAACACACAGTGCACAAAGCCAGCAAAGCGTCCTCTGCTCTGCTGACGGATCACCTGCTTCTGCCCTGCCGGCCGATGCCTGGCTTGTCATTGGGTGGGCTTCCCGGTTGCCCCCCTGAGCTGTTCCCTGTCCTCTGGTGGGGGAGCTGGGAGAGTGTGTCTGGGCACAAGTGGCCAACCCTGTTGCTGCCAGAGATAGCACCCTGGGGACAGTATTTATCCGCAGTACAAAGGAACCTGACAAAAGATTGAGAAATAGCTCTGATATTAATTGCAGTGACCCACCCGATTACAGGGATTATGTGACTGTGGGGCGCTGGGTGAGGTCACGCTGGGGTCACACTCCTGAATGTGCAGGCACCCCCAAAAGCGGTCAGCTCCACTGCAAGTTCCACAGGTCCCCCATCTGCAGTTTCCCCCTCCAGTTGCTCGCTGCCCGTGTGGCTTTGCTGTCACCCAAGGAAGAGGGCTTTGCGGGGGGCAGCCCCGCTGTGGACTCTGCTCCCATGGGGGTTTGTAGCTGGACCCAGTGCAGAATGACTAGGCAAAGCCAGCACGGTAAGTGATCTGCGTTCTCCCTCCTCCTTATCGGGTGCTTCTGTAAGTAATCCGAGGTGGATTTCAACATCATTTCTCTTTGGCAAGTGACACCCTTCTTGCCTCTCACCTGTTGCCCTCTTGCAAGTAGACCTGGTCTCCCGAAAGGGAGTCAGACCCAGGATGCGGGTTTGTGATGTTTCCTAGTGAGAGGTGGCCAGAATCACCTCCGGGACCCTGGGAGGAAAGACAGCGATATGGCCTTAGTCGCTTATTAACTCCCCCAGCCCCATGACACTTCCGGCAAATGACAGAGGGCAGTGGGAGTGTAGGGACACCCTCCCCTCAGGTCCTGACTCATCCCTAAGAAAACAAGAGGTGGCCCCTGTGGTGGGGAGGGTGCCTCCTCCGGGCCACGCTCTCAGACCGTGCTGTAACAGCCACAGAATAGTCGGCGGAAGAAAAAGAGGAAAGAAGAGTGGACTCGCCGTCTGGTGCTCCAAGGTGCAGAGCTCTCAATCGGCCGCCTTTGTATGGTGGCTTCCCACCGCAGCCAGATCCTTTCACCCACCAGAAAATGGGTCGCGTGTTTCCCTGCCGTGTGGGTGCCCCAGCATCATCCTAACAGGGCACCCTGACCACAGGCAGAAATAGCTAAGGCAATACGACAGCACAGTGAGGGCTCTCTTGGCTTACACTTGACCTACGTGCATGGCAGCCATTTTTCCTCACCAACGGGTCAAGGGAAGGACACTTCTGGGCTGAAAGGCAAGAACTGGCCTCCTTTAAAAGGAGGATTGTAAAATCCAGACAAAGACCCGAACGAGCAGCCGCAGTGGGGGGCCAGCGCCTGTGCCACTGTGGGTGGCATGGACTGTGGTGGAAGTGGCACACCTCCTCGAAAGCGGACCAGGGCTCGGACCCAAGTCCGTGATTCACATCGCCCCAGGCGAGCAAAGCCAGAGGCACGCGTGTTCTCCAGCCCCTTGGACCAGGGGTGGGCTGTGTGGGCAAGGTGTGAGCATGCTCATTTCCAGGACACTCGTTTGCTGAGGAAAGATTAACGGGCCTGCGATATGTGAGCACTCGGATTTCTCGCCCTGTGAAAAACACAGAGGGAGGATTGTTTGCGGTGCCGGTATGGAGCGGGGACACTGGCGCAGAGAGGAGAACCTGGACGGCAGGTGTCTGGCCGGGTCGCTGGCTCAGGCAGGAGGAGAGCAGCGGGACCCGGCCCTGCTGGAGGAAAGCTCGGCAGGAGGCCGCCCGGCCTTGGAAAGGTCTGGACCAAAGGCTGCCCTCTGTCTAAAGTAAACACATGCTCGCACTTTGGACTCAGAGTTGTGCTGAGCTGGCCGTGGCCTCTCTCGGGACACTTGTGGTGGTGCTGGGAAGCACGCCCCGACCGTCCTCCTGCAGCGATAATGCCGACCGTGGATGACATTCTAGAGCACATAGGGGAGTTCGACTCCTTCCAGAAACAAGCGTTCTTCCTCCTGTCTCTGCTGTCAGCGTTCTTCGCCCCTGTCTACGTGGGCATCGTCTTCCTGGGCTTCCTCCCGGACCACCGCTGCCTGAGCCCCGGCGCGGCCGAGCTGAGCCAGCGATGCGGCTGGAGCCTGGCCGAGGAGCTGAACTTCACGGTGCCCGAGCCCGGGCCGGCGGGCGAGGCCTTCGCTCGCCAGTGCCGCAGCTTTGAGGTGGACTGGAACCAGAGTGGCCTGGGCTGCGTGGACCCTCTGGCCAGCCTGGCTGCCAACAGGAGCCACCTGCCGCTGGGCCCCTGCCGGCATGGCTGGGTGTATGACACGCCCGGCTCCTCCATAGTGACCGAGGTAAGTGAGGCAGGATGTAGACACGACAGAGCAGATGGTGCAGCTTCTCTTAAGGAAGAAGCCGACGAGGCCCAGGCATGCTCTTTGGATGCAAGGTCTGTTATTAGAAAACCCCAGTTTCTGACAAAGACGGGCAGCCTCTTACCTGTCTGGGGCATGAGCTGATTCGTGTAAACCTGATCAAATTCAGGCAATAACGACTCTCATTCGTGCACCTCTCACCAGTAAGAAACAAGCAAAACCATGCAAGAATTCCTGGTAATAATGCCAGGAAAGGGGAAACTTTCAAGCCCCTCTTTTTCAGGAAGCCCCACCTCCCCCTCCAGTCTTCCTTCAAGCTCACGAAACTCACCCAAATGGTGCTGTACTGTGAGACAATGCACTTGTCTCTTAATGGCTATTTTTTTAATTTAATTTGCTCAAAGGATCCACATGAAAACATTTGGGGTCGGAGCTTATACTGTGTTACTATCATATTACTAAAAATTACTGTCAATATCAACATCCAATCGCAAAACCTCACTTCAGTAAATATAGAGAAAACAACAACAAAAAAGTGGGCTTGCTTTCACCAGAGGGAAAGCAAAAGGGGGGGATGAAATTATTCTGCAAGTACACAGAACGCCTGTTGCCCGGCTTAATTTTAAAAGACTGCTCGGACAATGTGTCGGAACATGTTCTGTATGAACAGACATTTAGGTCGAGGGGCCTTGTCTGAGGACCTGAAGTGATTCGATAGGAATGTTAAATGTGGACGATCACAGATTTCACACCATAGCGGTGTTAGGGGGGGCTTCACAGGGGGGCTTCACAGGGTGGTGGACCTCATCTTTTTTTACAGAGCTGAGGAAACAGAGACCAGAGCAGAGAAAAATTTTGCCTGAGGCCACAGAGTGAGAGAATTAGCAGTCAGCCCTGGCAACCGGAGCTCCTGACTTCCAGGGCCGCATCTGCTCCAAAAGAGAGCAAACCAGGCGTAGCCACCCAAGCGGGGCGCTCCTTGCCCCCCTCCCCTCACCCCCCAACTGCCGTTAAAGAGATAGCAGCGAGACACCACATGGCCCAACTTCCTCCGGGGGCTTCGGTATACACCTCTTTGCTTCTGTGTGTTAAAATTAGAAAGGGAAATGGTTTTGTGCAGAAATGAAGTAATTACCCAGTTTCAGCTGATCGAGCCAGTAACAGCATTTAGCCTGATGGCGTGCTACCTGATGGAATGCTACATAGGCTGCGGAACAAAGCTTTTGGCTGCGCAGAGAAAATTAACACAATGGCACGAAAACAATGGGTTTGTTGCCCCTTGACCCCATCGGTTCAATGCACTGGACACAGATGAGTTCCCAGGTGCAGGGGCCTCCAACAGGATCTTGTGTTCTCTCCCTCCCGCCCGGGGACCCCTCTCTCCCTCGGCAGTTTAACCTGGTGTGTGCCCGCTCCTGGTTGCTGGACCTGTTTCAGTCGGCTGTGAACGCAGGATTTTTCATCGGCTCCGTGAGCATCGGCTACATAGCAGACAGGTGGGTTTCCCTACGCCGGCTGGAGCGCCCTCCTTCCCAAATCACGCAGGCTGTGATGGCCCTGCCCAGTGTCACTCGCCTTGACAATCTCAGACAACTTCTGCTGGGAAGAGAAGCAAGGCCCCTGTCTTTCTTCCTTTTCCAGTTCTCTGGGTGGTTGAAGGATATTTCAGTATGAAGCAGTGGTTTTTCTTGGGGGCTGTCCAGAAGCTGAGGCTTCAAAGGGAGAACAACAGATGATTTGACATTGTGGGGGCCCAGTCCATCCTCTGGCCTCACAGCTATCTGCCTGGTGTGCGCCTCCAGGCCCCTGAGCTCTGTCCACCCTTGGCCCACCTGTCCTCGGCGCCGAGTGACCGCAGGCTGCCCGTGTGATCACAGGGCTCCCGGGTCAGGGCCTGGGGCCGGGTACAGTCACAGGTGTGGAGCCTCGGATGAAATGGGGCGAGAGGGAAGCGGGCCTGTTTACACTAAGGATGTCACTGCCACTTCCATAACATCCGTGTCGCTGGCGAGAAACAAGGAAAACCAGCGGGGGGGGGGGGACGTCTGGCAGCTGACCTGGGTCTTTAGGTCCAGCATTCAAGGACCCCGAGCTCCCCCTTCTCTGTCATTTATCCCAGAGCCTCAGACTTGCTGCGCTGAAAGCCCCTGGTGGCCTGAATCTCTCCTCTGCGGATGAGTAATCGGTCATTTTAGGAGTGCTAAAAAAAAAAAAAAGGAACAGAAAGATGTGCTCTACACTTGCTAAGCACTTTAGATAACTGGGCTATCGGGGCTAATTATTTAATACCCATAATACCGACTACAGAGTATTTTCCACGGTCCAGGCCATTTTAAATGGTATCGTTCTCTGTAGTCATTGGTCACCCAGTGAGCCAGAGATAGAAGAATATATCTAAGTCATATCATTGTGCAGCTTTACATAAATATACAACCTTATATAAATATACAATATGTAGTGTTACAGAACTATACAATTACATCACAGTTTTATGTAAAATACAAATACATACTTAATTCTGAAATCAATGGTAAATTAAAGCTACTCTGTGCTTGTCATCCCAGCTGTACCTAAACCCAAGCCTGGGAGTATAATAGTAAATGTAAGTAAAACGTTTCGTCTGATTATGTTACACTGTCAGGCTGGATTAGAAACCGGCTTGTTAAGTAAGGACGGCTTAATCTGTCACAGGCCCAGGGCCCCTGCACTGTCCCCGCCCTGCCCACTGGGGCGTAGGAGGGAGGGAGGCTGACAGCTGAGGGGCTGGGCCCCCCCGGCAGCTCCCCAAGACTGTCCACTCAGCTTCCCTTCACAGCTCTTCCTGGGACTCTGTGTGGGGGACTTGTGGGAGGAAGAGGAAGGTCATCCGCTGTTATTTTCATCACCTCAGAACCAAGGACAGCTGTTTGGAGAGGACCTTAAGGCAGGAGAGCCACTAAGGGAGGGGTCCCTGGGCCCCCTGGGCCCCAGAGTGTGGCTGGGCCCCCTCCCCACCTCTCCTTCACTCAAAGGGGCAGAGACCAACACTCACATGGACAGATGGGAGCCAGCAGGTGCTGGACCTCCCGGCGGGCTGAATAAATGAGTTAATTATTCTCATCCCACCCAAGGAGCAGGAGAGCAGTTATACTTTTCTACTGACAATGCATTCCTGATTCATAATCCCCAGCCAATTATCCACCTTCTTAATGATGTCGTTATTTTGTTCATCATGTTCAACTCTCCTCAGTAAAGTTGACTACTCATTATTCTTCCCCAAAAGGCTGTGCCCACATCCATTTCGTTTTTCCTCAGTTGTCTGGAGTCTTGCTGGCTTTGCCTCTTCTTCCATTCTCTCTGTCTGTGCACCTGAGAGGGTGTGACAGGGGAACCCCCGTGGGCTCAGAAACGGCGATCTGTATTCCAAATATGTACCGCCGTCTGGGTCAGGGTCAGACTGGTCTTTCCCAGGCGGGGACCTTGAGCAAGGCTGACTAACCCCCCAGCACCATGCTGAGTGGGAAGGCCAGGGTTCAACCCAGGTTTCCGAGTTTTCCTCTGCTCTGTGTACTCACGTACTCTCTAGGTCCCTACGCGGACGAAACCCACGTCTCTCAAATAACGCGCATGAACACCGTCCTTCTAGGGCACTCAGTTACAAAGGCCTCGGGTGGCAATTCTCAAAGGGACTCGTAGGCGGCGAGACTCAGGAGACCCTTTCCACAGAGATATACAAATACCACAAAGTCCGAGAGCACTGTTAAGAAATGTTGGGGGGTGCACTGAACAATAAACTTTGTCTTCCCTAAAGCAAAAGCTCTTGGGTGGCAGCTGGTTGGGACTGGCTGTGCAAAGGCCCCAGCTCACCCAGACAGGCCCCTAGGGCCTTCGGCAGTGGGGGGCCTGGGAGAATCACCTTTCCCTCAACACCCTCTAGTGTGGGACTGGGAAGTGCTCTGGTCCTGGGGTGAACGGGGCCATTTGCTTAAAATGGGCGTGTGCACTGTGTGCCGATGAAAAGTCTTGCCCAGACCTGACCTGAAGTCAGACTCTCCTGGTGGGCGTTCATCTGTACCTCCTGCATTTCCGTGATTCAGAGGTTTTTCTACAGCCTCCAAGCATCTAATTCAATTCGCTTCCCTCTCTCTGTCTTTCTCCTTGCAGGTTTGGCCGCGCTCCCTGCCTCTTGGTTACAGTCCTCATCAACGCCATAGCTGGAGTTCTCGTGGCCGTTTCTCCGACCTATGCATGGACGTTAATCTTTCGCCTGATCCAAGGGCTGGTCAGCAAGGCGGGCTGGCTGATCGGCTACATCCTGAGTAAGAACGCCTGTGGTTGTGGCCAGGAGAACAAACGGTCACTGCCGCCGAAACATGGTCAGGTGGGGGGTAGCTGGGCAGAAAACCAGGCTCAGCCTCAAGACAGTGTCGAGACGTATTTTTTCCTGGAACAAAGGAGTCTCTAAGATCTCATAGGTCTGCTCATTCTGCACCCCTCCCACAACCAAAACAATGAAGTCAGAAATGAGGGTCAATGTTAAGCCATCCAGATTCTTATGTAACTCGATAGGAATTTGTGTTTTCTGCACCTGGGGGATTTATGTAGAGAGAAAAATCTAGCCTGCAAGACCTATACATTAAAAAATTCAGTGATGAGTGATATGCTAGATTTATAAGGGACTTTCGTACTTTGCATAAATTTACTCTAGTAAACCACAGGTATCCTCAGTTTATGAACAAAGAAGCTGGCGAGTGCGCCGTCAGTCCAGCTGCCTTGGCCATCTGTGGGACTGGGAACGTCATCTACGTGCCACTCAGAAGGAGCCAGAGTCAGGCACAAGCTCTGTGGAGTGCAGGAGAATATTTGGACTCAAACAGCATAGCAGCATCTTTAAGGCAATATAGGAAAAATGACCACCATAATTAGATCTTGGGGACTAATCCCATCATTACTTTCCCTTCAGCTACATTCAAATAGCATCCACAGCCCTGGCCTGAGTAACTCGGTTGGTCGGGCATCATCCCACAATCCCAACTGTGACCAGTCTGATTCTCGGTCAGAACGCATGCCTGGGCTGCAGGTTCCGTTCCCAGTCGGGGTGCATAGGAGGCAACCAATCGATGTCTCTTGCACATTAATGTTCTCTTCCCTCCCTTCTCCTCTCTCTAAAGTCAATTTTTTAAAATAGCTTCCGTATACAGGGAAGTGAACACTTGGAAACTGAAATCATAATGATAAGAAAGCTCTCAGGACACAGGAAAGAACTAGACTCTGTGTGCTTAACATTTTTCCTGGTAGAGTCAGCTCAAGGAATTCTGTGAGATAAAGAGAGAAGTGTGAGATACTATCGGGTCCCCGGCTCACGCCTGGCCAACAAAGGAATTCACGGACGCAGTTATTCTGTCAGTAATTCGGTTTCTAGAACACGTGACCTGTCAAAATATGTAGAATTCAATTGTATAAACATGAATTTCAGCAACTGTTACTTTCCACCTCTTCACATTTCTTTCTTCTCTAGTCCCTCCAAATATCCTGCAGGAAGCCCCTTCCCCTTGACCTCTGTCCACCCCAACCCCCCGCTTCAGACCCATCCATGACTCCAATGACTTTGAAAGACAGACATTTCCATTTAGGGAGCGCTTGAAAAATTTTGTTTCACTCTGTCGTAAAATACTTTTGGATAATTCACAGTAAATGGTTGAAGTCTTTAATACAATTACCAAACACTTCATACAAAAACTCTGTGGCTCACGGAATATCTGAAATTTCGATTTTAGTATGTTGGTGATATACAAGTAACTGTCCCCTAAATTCAGGTACCACAGACTTTATTACCTGCTGTGAGGCAGTCACAGGGCTGGACGAGCCAACCCCGGCCCCTTGTGCTGTGGGCCTCCTGGAAGACAAAGCCCTGGATCTATAGTGTTTTCCGACTTCTAAGTTACAAATACTCCCAGCACGACAGGTTTCGAGGTGCCAATGAGTTTAGCAACCAGCGTGCCGAATTCCAGAGAATTGAAAAATCGGTTTTGGCAAGCCGGTACTAGCCGACTCCAGGCAGCCTGACGCCCACTGGCAGGTTTCCGAGCGATTCGCTCCCGTTAACAGAATTGCCAGGAAAATGTTTAACTTGGGAGAGAGAACGAGCCACACTGAGGTATTTATTCATTTACATCAAAACCACCTCCGGTCTAAACTCAAGGTCTGCTTCATTTCTTCAGGTCTTAAACCACCACTGCCTTATTACTCTCCACCAAAACTTCGCATGTCTCCGAAACGCACCTGCATCTGTCCTTGAAATTATTCTAGAAATCAAATGTTTTGCTCACGGTAGCAGGCCTTTCCCCCCCATCTAATGTGGGATTATAAGATTTTTACATTAATTAACACAATAGCAATAATTCTAAAATAGGACTCAAAGGACATTTTACAATTTGGACAGCTGTATAGAAAGTTCTAGAATTTGTACTTTTCGAGGTCAGCCTTCTAGGTTCCCCTCAGTTGGGCAGCCAGCTCCGTGTTGCACTGACTTGCTGACCACGTGGGTTTTCTCTGCAGTTACGGAATTCATCGGGCAGAGCTACCGGAGAGCAGTGGGCATTTTCTACCAAGCCGCCTTCACCGTGGGCCTCCTGGCGCTGGCTGGGGTGGCCTACGCGCTGCCGCACTGGAGGTGGCTGCAGCTGACGGTCACCCTGCCCACCTTCTTCTTCCTGCTCTATTATTGGTAAGTCCAGTTGGAATGGGAAAGAAAATAAATTGCAGTATCTCGTTTCTACCTTCCCTAATGCACACCATCCTTCTGACTTCTAAGGTTTCCTTCACTCTTCTGTTCCACAGGATGCCCGGTCCATATTTCCGGGACAAATATCAAGAGCTTCCACCCCTTTGGGAAGCAAATGTCCTTTTACTTCAGGCTTAAGATGATTTATGTGGTGTTTACATTAGCTTCCGGTGATTGCAGTAGCCTTTGAAGCAAATAACAAAATTGCCTTTCTTCTTCTGTCCCTTCTCAGAGGAAACTTGGGGACATAGGAGGCAGGGCATGGCACTCACATGCCCACTGCCCACATCCATGCCTGGAGCAGACATCCCCAATCAATCACAGCAACCTTTACCTCAGCCCAGGTCAACTTGGGACCCCACACAGACCATAGCAATCAATCAGAGTTCTCAGGACAAGTGAAATGTGTTTGTCTGCCCTCGGGAAACATGGAAAAGAGCAGAGGCTATCAGAAGCCCCACTGTGAGGTTACCTGAAATCAAACAAGGGGGAGGCTGCACGGCCAGCCAAACCTCTCTCCCATTCAACAAGCCCACGCATTTCATCCCTGCGGGTATCCCCCTGTGCTTCCCATGGTTGTCTAAGAATGAAACACCTCAACTTTCCCAGGAAGCCTGTTTCTCCCCCCAAATCCAGCACAACTCTAAGAGTCATTCTTAGCTCCCTCCTTATATCCAACCTACCCCTTTCCTGCTTCCCAATCTGCCCCTTTCTCCCCACCCCCATTCCCAATAGGATTTCTCGATATCTGGCCTGGATTGCTATGATCTCTGACCTTAGCATCACCATCCTCCTGTTTCACCCTGCATTTAAAATTCTAGGTCCACCTGGCACCTCTACGGCCTAAGAGTCTTTCAGTAACTGTGTCCCCCTCAGAAGAAAGACCTAATGCTCATTAGGACGGAGGCCCACCCATTATCCAAGTTCTGGCCACCTCGGAAACACTGCTTCTTGCCACTTTCACTCAACAGAATCAGACTTAATTTACCCACAACTGGGCAAACTCCAAGATGGGACAACATTTTCAAAAGATGGCTCAAGATGCAGAGTAGAAAGCAGGTGTTTGGGAGGAAGAAGAATGTGGGCGAGGAGTTCAAGTGAGAGACTGTTGCCCTGATCCCTGCAGGTGAGGACAAGCGCCTAAATGGAGACAAAAGTCGAGGGCATGAAGGGGAATGGATTACGAACACTGTGGACAGGGTGGCAACGACAGGGCCCAGTGGCTGACTGTGGAGGCTTTGAAAGAGGAGGAGCTGAGTGTAGCTGGGCCTCAGTGGGCTGGGGAGGGTGTCATTCAGAGAGACCTGAGCAGCGTGCAAGGGAGGAGGAGGAGGTGAGCTTTGAGCACGTGGCATCGCGGGTGCCGGAGAGACATCCACACGCAGCTACCCCGGGGCAGTTACACAGAAGTTCAGGGAAAACTCACCTCATTGGTGCAGCCATGGGGATGGGTGACATCAATTAGAGAAAATGAGCTGGGCCCAGAGAGGCAGGGGATGGCACAGCACAGGAGACAACACTGATCTTTGGAAACTCTAGGCTGGGCAGGAGGAGCCAGGATGGGGAGTGAGGTGGCACCATCGAGGAGAAGAGAGGAGTCCCTGGGGCAGAGGGGGCGTGGAAGTCATAGGAGGCAGGACCCGTGCAAGCCTCGCCTTCCCTGGGCCATCCTGGGCAGCCTGCCCAGCTAGGTAGCGTGGCACACAGGTCTCTATGGTTCTCATGTGTCACATGCCTGTTGGGATCACCTGTTGACCTGACATTGCATGATGTACCTTCCATTCCTAGTGGCTTTCCTTGATGGCTTTCCCCCGCACTCCTGCAAAAGCATCTGTCCGGAGTTGCTGGTGAGCCTGGCCTCTCAAAGTGACTCCTGGCTCCCTGAGTCAGGACCCCAGCAGCCCAGAGGGTCTGTCCTCCACCCATCACCCTGAAGGAGCTGCTCAGAGTCCCCTCCAGACACAGATCCAAGCAGCTGCAGGCCTGCCCGAGGGTGGGCAGGGGCCGCCTGTGTGCAGCCCAGTCAGGCTCCCTCTGTGCAGTCTGGCTTGTAAGTTCTCCCACCATCGGATCTCAGACCCTTCCCTCATTCCCTTAAGAAGTCATCTCTCAGAACGATACAGATAGAACATCTGCTCCCCCTGTGATGGTGCACAGACTCCCGCCTCCCCACCTGCCGTCAGGTCTCACAGCGGAAGCACCTGGTGCCCACCTGAGCGGTGCCTGCCTCCCAGACCTGGGGCTGTGCAGCTGGCTTCCCAGAGGCCCCCTAGGAACCCTCTGGGGGGTCGCTGAGGCTCCCCACACAAGGCTGAGTAGAAGCATTTGAAGGAGGAAAGAGTCACATATTCCCCTGTACAAGATTATGACATGTCTTTCCTGGGGCGAGGACTCTCAAGATCCATCCCCCTAATAACAACTTTTCAGTGGGCACTACAGTGCTGGTAACGGCAGCCGCCATGCTGTGCACTGCGTCCCCAGGACTGGCTCATGTTGTAACTGGCAGTTTGTACCTTCGAACCCCCTTCACCCCCTTCACGCACCCCACCCCTCAACCCCTGCTCTGGCAGCCACCAATCTGCTCCTTATCTATGCACTTGTTTCCCCCCTTGGAGCCCAGCTGGGAGTGAAATGGTACTGTGTATGTCTTTGATTCACTTCACTCAGTGTAACATCCTTCCAGTGCATCCGTGTTGTCAAAAATGGCAGCATTTCATCCTCTTTTATGGCTGAATAATACACACACACACACACACACACACTTTATCCATCCATTCACAGACGGATACAGGTTGTTTCCACATCTTGGATGTTGTAAATAGTGCTGCAATGAATATGAGAATTTACATGTCTTTTTGAATTCGTGTTTTTGGGTTTTTTGGATTGCTACCCTGACATGGAATGGCTGTGTCACATAGCAGGTCTATTTTTTTAATTTTCGAGTAACTTCTATACTGTTTTCCACCGTGGCTGCACCAATTCCTATTCCCGCCAACAGAACCCGAGGGCCCCCCTTTCTCCACGTCCTCGCCCGCTCTTGTATTGCCAGGCTTTTTCATGGCAGCCATTCCGACAGGTGCGTCTCGTTGTGGTTTTGACCCGAGTCTCTCTGATGATCGGTGACGTCAGCCACCTGCCTACTTTGGGAAACTATCTGACTCTGTGCCCCTTTTTAAATTGGACCGTTTGGTTTTTTGCAATTCAGTTGTATAAGTTCTTTATACATTTTGGATGTTACTGTTTTCAGACGCGTGGTTTGCTGCTATTTCCTCCCAGCGAGCAGGCTCCCCTTTCACTTTGTGGGTGGTTTCTTTGCTCTGCAGCCCCCACGTGACCCTCTTTTCTTCGTCAGTGCCTCGCTGTGCCAGGTCCCCCATGGAAATCTGGTTATGGCGGCAGGGAGACAGGGGCCAGCAAGACTCTCTCCCTGTAGCCGCATCGCGACACTCACTCTGTGCCCTAGGTGCATCCCTGAGTCCCCGAGGTGGCTAATCTCCCAGAACAGAAGTGCTAAAGCCCTGAGCGTCCTGAAGCACATCTCAAGGAAGAACGGCAAACCCATACCCGCATCTCTTCAGGTGAGCGAGCAGTTGCAAGGTCAAGTCCGGCGGGAGGAGGCAGTGCAGGCGGGAAACATGCACAGCAGAGGGGCGGCCCCATGCCAGGGGTGCTGCTTCTCCACCAAAAGTCATGGTTTCCCAGTCAGATATTTTAAATAGTTGGAAAACGTAAAAGTAAGAGGAAACCAAAAAAAACACTGAAAAGTCAAATGAGGGGCTTTTGTCTCGTGCCCCGAGGCCTGTGCTGGGCCCGGTGCCTTAGTGCCCACGTCTGGTTCCCCCCGGGTGTCCATCAACACCCCGGGAAGTCCCTGGGGAAGGGGCTCTTCCCCAGAGGGGAGGTCTCCAGATCAGGAAAACGGATTTTCAAACGCAGTCATTTCTTAGCATTTAAAAATTCTGGAGAGAACATGTCCCAAGATGCTTACCCAGCGCTCTGTTTTCTTGACCGGGACGAGCGACGGAGCCGGAGGGTATGTCAAAATAAGAGTAAATCGTTCCCCATGGAGGCGCTAAGATAGGTAACCCAGGAGAATTTGAGATTTTACATGACATGGAAAACGAGGCTTTGGGGGCTCTGAGGCCTTGTCTCCCGCCCACTTCTCTGGTTTCCAGGCGGCTGGAATACCCACTTGTTTCCACTAATGACCAGCCTAACACCTGCCCTTGGGTTTTAGGCCCAAGCAGAGGCTGGTCAGGGACAGAGTGTGCGTGGGCAGGCCACCGTCTTGACAGAGGTCACAGCTCACGGAGCAGCGACAAGTCTGGTCATGGCTGGTCTCGCTAGAGGTCTCTTCCCCAAGGTCCTCGGTCCTTCCCACACCATCACATGGGTCTCAATTCACCCTCCCTGCCCCCCGTGCTTTACCTGGATAGCACCCCTTTATATCGGTGCCCGGGCTATCTGACCTCTGTGCTCTGGGGTGGGGTGAGAAACCCAGGACCCAACTTCTAGGATGAAGGAGCTACATGAAGGTGGAAGGAGCTCATGCGCTTGAAGGTGCTGTTTTCTCCCCTGGTAGGAAGGACCCTGGGATCCCCTTGCTTCCTATAAAAAGCGGTTCTTTCTGTTTCCACCCTCAGAACCTGAGCCCTGACGAGGAGGTCAGCGAGAAGCTGAATCCCAAGCTGAAGCCTTCGTTTCTTGACCTGGTCAGAACCCCACAGATTAGGAAACACACTCTGATCTTGATGTTCAACTGGTAAGGAGCCCTTTTCATTGAAAAACTTTCCCAATTCTTTCCATACCGATTGCCCACTTCAAGGGAGGGAAGCAGGTACCTCCACACACAGCCCAGCTCCGCTTTGGCCTTGACGGTGGGGAGCGAGGTGGGCCGCCTTAGAGCAGGTTTTCCCGACACCGTCTTCCTCAGGCAGACGCTGACCCCAGCTTCCTGTTCCACATCCTCAGTCCGTCCTCAACCTCGGCTTTGCCTTGGAATCACCTGGGAGATTCTTAAATATTAAGGCCAGACCCTCTCCACCTGTTCCCCAAAGATACTGTTTAATTAGTCAAGAGAAGGGCCAGGAACCAATATTTTTCAAATAGCCCCAAAATGAGAGCGATTGGTATTGATCCATTGATCATGAGTGTAGATTGCTCCTGGCTGCACAGAGCAGGTGAGGAAAGGGCCTCCTCCTTTTATTTTCTACCTGGAGAAATAACTTTTGAACAAGAATAAAGCACAAGAATAAGCCAGTGGCTCCACACGCCGGGAAACTCCGGCTTGACCGTGTTGGCCCCTGCCCAGGGCGGCAGGCTCGCCTCCGAGGGTCTGCGCGGGGTGGGTCAGAGCAGCCGGGGCAGAGCCGTGGTCCCTGCACAAGCAAAGCTCGTCCGGAATTAATTAAGCAACCTTCAGGCTACTGCATAAAAACACGCACCAGGGAATAACTGTGACTCTTACCAGTTATCCTCCTATTTCCCATTACAGACAATGACCGCTTCCAGCGAACAAAATTAGAAACACTGTCAAAATGCTATTTGTGTCATGGCAGAAGGTAAATGACTAAGAAGAGAGGCTACGCTCATGTGCTCCTCTGGTTTTCCAGAATTGGAATTAAGTAGTCAGTCCTTTGATCCCCATGGCACTAGAAGACCACGGAGAAATAATTAACAACCACTAATGGCCTGTATACTTTTGCTAAATAAATCACTCCACTAAAACATTTCTTCTGCCTTTCAAACTTGGCCAGGGAACGCTATCCTAATTTCTTCCTCTCCCCTGGTTCTGGGGCCACAGCCAGACGCCGCAGTGGGTCACACAGCGTAAAAGCAACGGATGGAGGGAATAGTAACAACCGAGACCAAGAAGGTGACCTCCGGTCAACTCTTATTTTTCCAGCGGCCTCCCCCTTTCGGTGACCTGCTGTCACATGCCTTTGACTGGAGCTTCCTCTTTGCTCAGGTTCACGTGCTCGACCCTCTACCAGGGCCTCATCATGCACATGGGCCTGGAAGGGAGCGACATCTACCTGGACTTCTTCTACTCCTCCCTGATGGAGTTCCCAGCCGCCTTCCTCATCATCCTCACCATCGACCGCATCGGTCGCCGTCTTCCGTGGGCTGGGTCAAACCTGGTGGCGGGGGCAGCCTGTCTGGCCTCGGTTTTTATCCCTGAGGGTGAGTGTCAGGCCAAGCCAGGGTCTTGTGTCCCCACATCCAAGAACTACGGGTGTCACTGTCCTTTGATAGGAGGACCGTGACATTTATCATCCAGACCCATCTGGAAAGGATGAGTGCAGCATCTAGGACCTTCCTGACAAACACATATACCTTCAGAGCAATTGCACCTGGCAGTGCCCTGATGTAATATAATTGAGGCTGACTGTTCTCTGATGGATAAGGAGGACCCGCGCTGCAAGCCCCCTAGCCAGCCCAGAGCGGAGAGTGCGGGCGGGGGGCAGAGCGGGTCCAGGTTAACACAGCCCGACCCCGCACCTCTCATGTAGTTTAAGCAGCCCCTGGACCTTCCGGCATCATCGTGCAGAACGGGAAAACTTAAGTGAATGTCGTCAGTGAACAATTCCTCGGTTCCTTATTTTCCTTTTAAGACACTTTCTCAGTGAAAGGAAGCAAAACCCTGTATACCAGAATCCTATTAGCAACATGGAACTCAGCTGGAATCTTTCTGTTATCAGCAGCTAGACAGAGTGTCCCCATATTTTCCTACTTCTTTTGTGTGACCTCTCCAGACTCAAGCCAGCCCGGCTTTGGAAACTGGTATAATTCTGTGGTCATCGATGACCAAGGTCTCAAGTTAAAAGATTGTTACAACTGTGTCTAAAGTTACAGTAAACAGACATGGAGAATTTGCTGACACTGTCTTGAACCTGGAGAAGACCCTGCGTTGTTCTCCTGTCCCATTCTGGAATGTGGACTTTCCCCCGCCAATCCCCGCCCCCACCCGCCCCGCCCCAGGAGGGAGCACTCTGTGAAGAGCAGGTGTGTGTGCAACACCAACAGGGCTGTGTTTCCCCACAGACTTGCACGGGCTAAGAGTCGCGGCCGGGTGCTTGGGTCGAATGGGCATCACCATGGCCTTCCAGATCGTTTGCCTGGTCAGTGCGGAACTGTACCCCACATTCATCAGGTGGGCACGTGTTCCCCAGCATGAAGGGCAGGGGTTGGGGCATTTGCTTCTTGGCCAGAACAACGCAGGTGCCAGCAGAGGACACTTGACTTTTCAAAGCACAGGGTAAGAGAGGAGGAGAGCATTTAAAGGCAGCCGCTGGCCATGTCTCACACTCACAGACTGGGGTCAAGTGCAGAAATGTGGGGTGAGAACAGAAGGCACCGAGTTGCCAGAGAGAATTTCCCAGCAGCCTCCGGAGATGGCGATCGGGAACAGCGTGACAGGACCATAGAAACAGGGAACAGGTGACGCACGTGGAGAGTGAAGTCGCCCCCCAGTTACAAATTCTCAAGAAAATTAAGATAGAACAAATATAACAGAATACAAATGAACTATGCAGCATATATCATTTACCTGCAGTGAAAATAGCATGAACACTATTTTAGAGATTTTATTTATTTATTTTTAGAGATGGGGGAAGGGAGGGAGAGAGAGAGAGAGACACACGTCGATCAGTTGCCTCTCTCGTGCACCCCCACCAGGGACTGAACCTGCAACGCAGGCATGTGCCCTGACCGGGAACCAAACGGGTGACCTTTCTCTTTGTGGGACGATGTCCAACCCACTGAGCCACACTGGTCAGGGAGACGTGAACACTTCTTCAGTTCACAGACATTTTAATGATTTGGGGAATTATCCACTGGGGGGTGGGTGGGAAGTGAGAACTGTGCCTTCGTAAGTGAAAAGGTCGAACCCGTTCCAGGAATCTCGGTGTCCATGTCACCTCCTCCATGTGCGACTTTGCGGGCATCCTCACGCCGTTCTTGGTGTACCGGCTCACCGACCTCTGGCACGATCTTCCCCTGGTGGTTTTTGGTAAGAAATCCTGAGCGACGTTTTTGAGTGAAAACCTGCCTCTCTAGGGACCCCCCTTCTCCTACCTCCAAATAGGTGCCCATTGTAACAACTCAGTGTGACTGGTAATGGGTGGTGCTGTCAATGTTAGTAACACTAGTATGAGTAACACTGTCGGTAGTGACTGATACTCAAGTGTGGGGACCCCCTAGGACTCCTGCCGAAGGGGTCCAACATCTAGGAAGAGGGGGATGGGAAGGAGTTTCCTGAAGAACTCCCCTCGCTGCTTCCCACGCCTCCTCGGGTCTCGTGATCAAAGAGCTCACTCCCTCCTCCTCCTCCACAGCCAGATGTAGAATCCTACAGACCCGTTGCTGCCCCTCTTTAAGGAGAGGCTGTCGAACTCTGCAGAGGCCATTTCGGCCCCAGCAGACAAAGACCATGCATCAGCCTAGGGCCTGCTGGGGTCAGGGCTGGACCCGCTTCCTCAGTGGCTCGGGCTATACTTAGACTTCCGGAGGGCGCCCTTGCCTCCTGACACTGCAGGAAAGTTCGGGCCAAGCCCTCCCCTTGGCCAGAACTTTCTTTGAGCATCCTGCCGGGTAGAAAGTGGCAGGCCCAAATCTCCCCCAATTATCTACAATTAACACGCACAGGCCTTTGTTGAACACGAAGTCCACAGACCGTGAAAGGGGAACCTGGGCCCTTCCATTCACTCCGCGCCCATGGCCTTGCTCACAGCTGAGACTGTGGGGGCAGACTGTCTCCTTCTCCACGCAGACACGGTGACAGATTTGCACACAAAACCTCCCCCTCCTCACGCCGGCTGGGACGTCTCAATGTACCCCTTTCGGTCCCTGTTAAGGCCCGTTCTGAACTGGTTTTAGTTTGACAAAAATGTAATACGTTTTACCATGGGCAAACACCCACTCACTCACCTTGAGGGGAGGAAGAAAGAGACCCCCTCAGGTGCACACCAGGGGATCGTCAATTTCCTCCTCCCTCTGGTCACCACACCAAGTATCTCTGTTCATTCCTCTTGGGGGGCGTGGGAGGGCAGACTTTCCCCTGGGACTGACCTGCCAAGAGAAGTTCCTGACCGTGGCTAGAACGCACCCCAGAATTAGCCCCAAGGAGTTCCTCCACTTTCCAACTTGACACCACCACGGCCCACGTTGGGGGGACACAGCTCTCTATCCTGAGATGCCCATGGCTTGGCCACGGGACGACTGGCACTGCTTGTGGGGCGCACAAGCCCTGGACTGTCCTCCCCCAGCAATGCCAAGTCTGGGCCCAGGGGGACCATGGTTGACCCTCCCTCAGAAGAGAAAGGATCACAATTGCGTTTCAGCATTTATTCATTTTTACAGAGAGGTGATGGGAGGGAGAAAAAGAGGGAGAGGAACATGGATGTGCAAGAGGCAACTGACGTCCCCAACTGGGGACCTGGCCGGCACCCCAGACATGTGTCCTCCCTGGGAATGCAGTCAGTGACATTTTAGTTCACAGGCCGGCACTCAGGCCACTGAGCCACACCAGCCAGGGCTGCCTTTCCACATTGAAAGTCAACTCTATGTCAACTTTCTATATTATTTTTGTTAGGAATTATCCCTCACCAACTTTTCATCTGAGTAGCTACCAGGAACCAGAACTAATGGTTTTACATTTTAACTTCTTTTCCTTCCTTTCCCACGCACTGGTGTGCTAACTGTGGTCTTGAAGTGACCAGAAATAGAAATCTAGAAGTCAGGCCCTTCACAAGTGAACATGTTCAAAAATCCTCCTCGGAAGAGCATTGTGGGAGGGGAGAGGAACGCCCAGGTAGGCTGGGCTTATCCCTCCAAATATACAATGTATATTGTGTACATTATCGCGATAGCGTGACTCCTCTATTGGATGACTTCGTAGCTCACTCAATTCAGAGACCCAAAGCCACCTGCGTGTAATTACTATTCGTGTGGGTTCCAACCAAGTGCATCCCCACAGGTCTGTGGGGCACTGTTCTAAGCAGAAAACAGACAGTAACTCATCTCAGCCCCACAGCAAGCCTGCGAGGCGCATATCACGCCACTTAACACAGGGGCTCCAGAGCTCCAGGGAGAGCGCAGAGCCTCCCAGGGCTTGAAGAGCGGGACGCGGGCAGCCCGGCCGGTACCAGACACCTGAGCTTGGGGCCCCCAGTTTAGTGGTTATTTTTAAGGATGCAGAAATGGAGTTCAGCGTGCACTTTTTTCTGAAACTCCAAAACTAGTGAAGCGCCTACATCCCACTTCCTGCATTCTGTTACAGAAAAATGTATAAAAATGTACCCTTAACATCCCTAAACTTTAGTGGGAATTTAAAGAGACAAAAGCACTATGATGTTTGCTATTACCCCCCTACACACACACACCATATAGAAAAAATTGGAGCTGGAGACAAAGAAAAGAAGAACAACTGGAATTTATTAAACACCTGAATTCGAAATCAAAGTCCTGGCTATACTTTTTTATGCTGTTATATAGTAATGCTTTTAAAAGAGATTCATTACTTGCATTTGCCAGTAACAATCCAAGTTTCTAACTCACTTTTCCTTACCAAGTGCTTTATATTGGCAAGGTTATGTTATTTCTTTTCTTAGAGTTGGTTTTTTTTCACGGTTATTTCTAACTCCAAAGTGTCTTCATACAATGGCAAAGTTCTCTAGCCTAGAATAAACTTGACTCAAAATGTGAAGGATTTCATTTCCCTAAAAGGCATTGTAACCCGACCGCGTTTGGGATCAGCAAAATATCGATGGTGGAAAACAGGGGTGTCAGATGGCAGAGAAACTCTTAAGTATAGGAAATTACCAAACATTTTTTAAGAAATAAAGGGAGCTCTAATTATAGAGGCGGAATGCTTCCCTTCTCGGTGTGATTTACCTCTGTTTGGCTTTCAGCCGTGTTCGGCCTGATTGCCGGGGGCCTGGTGATGCTGCTGCCGGAGACCAAGGGGAAGACTCTGCCCGAGACGATCAGCGAGGTGGAGAACATGCACAGGTACAGAGCTGAAGTCCTCCAGTGGGCTCACTGTTTCAGACCGGCTTCTGGCCGGCTCAGCAGCCAGTTGGAAGGAAAGATGAAGGAGAATCTGTGTGTCATCACAGATCAGTTCAAATGAAATCAGACTTGAAACTACAAAAGAGGAAGGAAGGAAGGAAGGAAAAAAGGAAGGAAGGAAGAAAGAAAACTATAGGAGAATACCTTTCTACATTCATAGTAGGGGAGGTCTTTGAAATATGGCCAAAAATCCAAAATCCAACAGGGCAAGGGAAAAGTAATAGGAGAAAAGTGGGGACAACGGCCATTGAACAACAATAAAAAATCCATAAGTTTGCCTACATAAAAATCTATAATTCTGCATTGAAAAACTACTATAAGCTTACATCATACAGCAAAATTAGAGAAAATATTTACTCCTCTACAAAGGGCTAATTGCCCCAATGTGTAAAGAGCTCTAAGAAATTCATAAAAGCAACCACCCAAAAGAAAAAAATGAGCAAAGGACGTGAGCAGATAAGTCAGTGAAAAAAGGCAGCTCTTAAATAAGGGCCTGGCACCAATAATGCCCCTTTTTTATTACAAGTTCTCTTATTACAAAACCATAAGCATGTCATTCTGTAACATAGCAGTGTCATGCTCAAGCACACCATAGGACATTTTAGGTAAAATGTTCACCTTAAAACAATATATTATTCCACCCATGTTATTACCTACCAACCACACTCAAGCAGGCGTCACTTCTGCCAGACCCTGTATGTAATACGATACACCCCACCTCCCTGGTGGTCAGAGAAGTACGGCTGTGCTGGGCCGGGCCACCCACTGGAACGGTGGTGCTCAGGCTGCGTGGGAGCGCCCTCTGCTGGGAAAGAGCGTGCAGAAAGCGCCCTGAGTTGCCAGTAGGACACGAACTGGAAACCTCTACCAGGGCCAGTAGGACGAGCAATTCCACACGTCCAGACATTTACATGTGCAAAATCGCCTGTGCACCGGCCTATTCTGGAAGGCAATTTTTTATCTAAGAAAAGACCGGAAACGGTCTCAATGCCCTTTCCTTGGGAGACCACTTGTATATATAAATTATGTCATTCAATAAAATATACAGCCATTTAAAAGAATGAAGCAGCTTTAAATACACAGATAAGGGAAGTTCTCCAAGACATAGTGTTAATGGAAAAAAAAGAAAGTATAAAGTCTAGCAAGTGTGGGGGAAAGTGGAAACTTACACAGGCACATTTGCTTGGATCTTGAGAAGGCTGCACGGGGACCCTCCCCCCGGCTCTCACGTGCCTGGGTGGCTGTGGGTTACAGGTGGGAGGAAGAGTTTTCAATGCATACTTTTGGGTACTCTGTGAATTTTGAACCATACGAACCTGGTCAAAAAGTAACCTTTTTTTAAAAATCTAAGAGAAACGTATCAGACACACCCCCCGCCCCCACGAGTTTGTGTGTATGCTTAGATATTTGTATTTCTTCATCCACACTCCATTTCCGGCCCGCTGGAGCCAGGAACTGAACTGAAATTTATCAAAATTTCATTCTACAAGATGTTCACCTTGAGCCCATTCAGTATTTGGGCGGATGCTGCTGCAGCAGAATCGCTGCTGTCTGAGGCTTTTCCTGGAACTCAAAGGTTAGCGTGGGAAGGGCCTTTGGATTCATGCAGCGGTCATGGCGGGGGCCCGCAGGGCACTGCAGTCCCCAGGGCCTTGCTTGGCCCACACAGCCGCTTTTAAAGTGGGAAATTCCACATAAATTGGATTTCCAGGATCTGGTAAAACGAGCAAATCACCAGAGGATCGGACCACACTGAGTGGCACTTCCTCTTGCTGACAATGTGCAGGAGCTGAGTGGCGGCCCAGCTCTGTGGAGGGTGCACCCCCAGGCACAGGCCACGGTCCCACGGGGGCCTGACCCTCTGTGGCAGGACACCTGTCCTCTATGCCCGGGGCACGTAGACATCCAGCTCTGACAACCTTTCCACGTAGCCCACACTGCACACAGTGTCCCCTGCACACAAGGACCTCCCCTCGAGGACAGACTGCGTCCCATGTAAGGAGCCTGCGCTCACTGAGCACTGTGGGACAGACGCCAAGCTCCTTCCACGGCATCCAGGACTGAGATCCCTCCAGGCCCTTCCAGGCAGCCCCAGTGTCAGGAGGAGGGGCAAGGACCCACAGGGCAGATCCTCACATGTCCCTTCCATGTGGCCTTACCTCCTCTGAGCCTCAGTTTCTTCATCTGTCAATGGGGACAGCAGCCCCTACTCCTGGGGTGTTTGTAATGACTGGATGAGGTCAAGCTGTACGGGGCCTGGCCCTTCCTCCGTGTCTGGGAGCCGTTGCCATTATCCATAGAAGTTTTCATGGCTGCTTCTTAAAACAGAAAATACGTACCTGGATGTCGTGTTGGAAGTCAAATTTCGAAACAGGTTCTGCACTTTGTGAGCAAGGGAAACGTAGGCCAGTGGTGCACAGGTTCGCCTGTGCCGGCCGGAGTCCCCATTCCCTTGGCTGGTTCATGCTGGGCCACAGAGGCACAGATAACTCCATTGTTTTACACCCGTTCATGTGGTCGACACACACTCCCCTGAAGGTTCCCACTATTCTGTTTCTGCACGACCCAGAGTATTTTTTCGAAGACAGGAGACAGATCCATGGAAAGCTTGGGGAGCTGCAGAAAGAGATGAGGGCCGTGGCAGGCTGGGCGAGGACCACACACAGAGACAGATGAGGACAGGCTGCGTGAGGCAGCAATGGCCGGGACCAGGGGCCTACCGCACATGGCACCAGGGATCAGGCATGCAGGGCACCTAGTTCAGGAGAGCTAACCCCAAGCAGAGCGTCACACACGGAGGGAGAGGCAACAAGACCAGAGTGGGGCGGGGCCCCTTCCCCACTGCCCGTCATTCGGTTCCTAAGGGCACAAAGACAGACTTTTGACGTATTAACATGTTATTTATTTCATCTCTTGAGCCCGTTTCCTTTTCTGTAAAATTGGGAACGATAACTAATACTTATTAAATGGTTTCAACCAGTGCTTTTCAGGCCCTTCTCGTTCAATCCTTGCAGCACTCCGGGCAGCAGGCATCATTATTAGCTCCAGCTGACACTGAGGAAAACCAAGGCAAGAGAGAGTACAGGACCCTCCCGAAGTCGGGCAGCCAGTGAGAAAGCGAGGTTCTAGCCCTGGCGGCCAGAGTCCGCACCCACCCACACCTCTCCCCTCAGAGGGCTGGGCCCACAAGTGGGACGATGGAGGTGGGGTGCCCAGCACCGGGCTGCACTTAGTCACCTGTCAACCAGCGGGTGCTGTGCTGCTGCTGCTGCTGCTGCTGCAGGTGTGCTGTTGGTGTTGCTGTGGATATTGTTTTTGGCTACTGCTGTTGCCACTGTTGTGGTTCCTTGTGCCCATTGTTGTTGCTGCTGTCACTTTTGTTGTTTCTGCTGCAGTTACTGTTGCTTTTCCTGCTCTTGTTACTTCTGCTGGTGTTATTGTTCCTATTGCTGCTGCTATCACCGCTGTTGTTGTCTCTGCTATTTTTGTTGTTGATGTTGCTACTGCTACTGTTGCTATCATTGTTCTTGCTGTTTTTGTTGCTGTTGCTATTGTTCCTATTATTGTTATTGTTGCTACTGTCAGTTCTGTTATTTTCTGCTGCTCTTACTGCTGTTGTTGTTCCTGCTCTCATTATTTCTGCTATTATTGTCACTGTTGCTGATGCTGCTGCTCGTGTTGTTGCTATTGTTACTGCCATTGTTTCTGTTACTATTGTTGCTGTCACTGCTGTTGTTGTTTCTGCCATGGTCATTGCTGATGCTGGTCTCCTGTTGTTTCTGCTGCCATCACTATTAATGTTCCTGCTTTCATTATTTCTGCTCTTATTGTCACTGTTGCTGCTGTTGCCGCTCCTGCTGCTGCTTCTACTGTTATTGCTATTGCTGCTGCCATTGTCTCTTGCTGTTGTGGCTGCTGTCACTGCTGTGCTTGGTGCTGCTGTTGCTGTTCTTGTTGCTGCTGCTGTTGTTGCTGCTGTCATTTCTATCATTTCTGCTGCCGTTACTGTTGTTCTTGCTGTTGCTGTTGCTGGTGTGGCTATTGTCACTGTTATCTCCACCATTTCACAACTGCCTGGTGTGGCTATTGTCTTTTCCACTGTTGCTGCTGTCATTTCTATCATTTCTGCTCCTGTTATTGTTGTTGTTCTTGCTGTTGCTGGTGTGGCTATTGTCACTGTTATCTCCACTGTTGCTGCTGCTGTCATTTCTATCATTTCTGCTGCTGTTACTGTCATCGTTCTTGCTGTTGCTGGTGTGGCTATTGTCACTGTTATTTCCACTGTTGTTGCTGCTGTCATTTCTATCATTTCTGCTCCTGTTATTGTTGTTGTTCTTGCTGTTGCTGGTGTGGCTATTGTCACTGTCATTTCCACTGTTGTTGTTGCTGTCATTTCTATCATTTCTGCTCCTGTTATTGTTGTTGTTCTTGCTGTTGCTGTTGCTGGTGTGGCTATTGTCACTGTTATCTCCACTGTTGTCACTGCTGTCATTTCTATCATTTCTGCTCCTGTTATTGTTGTTGTTCTTGCTGTTGCTGGTGTGGCTATTGTCACTGTTGTTTCCACTGTTGCTGCTGCTGTCATTTCTATCATTTCTGCTCCTGTTATTGTCCTTGTTCTTGCTGTTGCTGGTGTGGCTATTGTCACTGTTGTTTCCACTGTTGCTGCTGCTGTCATTTCTATCATTTCTGCTCCTGTTATTGTTGTTGTTGCTGTTGCTGTCGCTGGTGTGGCTATTGTTACTGTCATTTCCACTTTTGTTGCTGCTGTCATTTCTATCATTTCTGCTGCTGTTACTGTCATCGTTCTTGCTGTTGCTGGTGTGGCTATTGTCACTGTTGTTTCCACTGTTGCTACTGCTGTCATTTCTATCATTTCTGCTCCTGTTATTGTTGTTGTTCTTGCTGTCGCTGGTGTGGCTATTGTTACTGTCATTTCCACTTTTGTTGCTGCTGTCATTTCTATCATTTCTGCTGCTGTTACTGTCATCGTTCTTGCTGTTGCTGGTGTGGCTATTGTCACTGTCATTTCCACTGTTGTCACTGCTGTCATTTCTATCATTTCTGCTCCTGTTATTGTCATTGTTCTTGCTGTTGCTGTTGCTGGTGTGGCTATTGTCACTGTTGTTTCCACTGTTGCTGCTGTCATTTCTATCATTTCTGCTCCTGTTATTGTCGTTGTTCTTGCTGTTGCTGTTGCTGGTGTGGCTATTGTCACTGTCATTTCCACTGTTGTTGCTGCTGTCATTTCTATCATTTCTGCTCCTGTTATTGTCGTTGTTCTTGCTGTTGCTGTTGCTGGTGTGGCTATTGTCACTGTTATCTCCACTGTTGCTGCTGCTGTCATTTCTATCATTTCTGCTCCTGTTATTGTTGTTGTTCTTGCTGTTGCTGTCGCTGGTGTGGCTATTGTTACTGTCATTTCCACTGTTGTCACTGCTGTCATTTCTATCATTTCTGCTGCCGTTACTGTTGTTCTTGCTGTTGCTGTTGCTGGTGTGGCTATTGTCACTGTCGTTTCCACTGTTGTTGCTGCTGTCATTTCTATCATTTCTGCTCCTGTTGTTGTTGTTCTTGCTGTTGCTGTCGCTGGTGTGGCTATTGTCACTGTTATTTCCACTGTTGTTGCTGCTATTGTTTTTGCTGCTGTCATTTCTATCATATCTGCTACTGTTACTGTTGTTGTTCTTGCTGTTGCTGTTGCTGTTGTGGCTATTGTCACTCTTGTTACTACTGTTATTATTGCTATTGTTGCTGCCATTGTTTGTATTACTTTTGTTACTGTTGCTGCTGTTGTTGATGCTGCTATTGTTGTCCCTGCTGTTATTTTTGCTGCTTTTGTTTCTGGTATTGTTGCTGTTGTTCCTACTCTTGTTGTTATTGCTGCCATTTTTGTTGCTACTGCTGCTATTGTTACTCTTGTTGTTGCTGGTGCTGTTGTTCCTATTGTTGCTCTTGTTGCTATTGCTGTTGTTGGCATAAACGCTCTGGGAGCTCAGCAGACTTGTCTGAGCCCCTACATCTGGAGTCTGAGAGGACTCCAGCACCACTGGGTAATTCAGGTAAGCTTTTGCTACTCTCCCCATATCAAACGGGTCCTGAAACAGAGGTGGGACTAAGTGCCTCCAGGTGGGGGGACTTCTGCAAGGAGCTTGGAGACACAGTAGCAGTCCCACACCAAATCTCAAGATTATTTTCAACAGTGACATGTCAACAGAGTATGTCTGGAATCAACGAAATGAAGAAAGCAGCATTCCTGTGAGTATTAGCAACATCCTGGTATTCGCAAAGACAAGACGGCTGAGGAACTTGCAATTTGAACAAATATTTGAATTGATTTTTCACTTATCCAACTGCTGAAAAGTAAATTAACTTTGGTTAAAATAATTCTCAAATTCTATTTGGAGAACTGAAGATAACAGTGTCTAGACTTTGAAATCTTCATTTTTAACTGACACAAGATTAAATTTAGACATTTCCCACGTTCTTCATTACAGAGAAGGGTAGAAGAGCTTAAATAATGAACCTAGGCCAGTCTCGTTCTTACCACAGAATTCTAGAAACTACTCTATCCACGTTAGTTATTCCCCGAGCTCTTATTTAGAATCACCCCTCAGAACTCATTGCAATGCTCACCCTGGAAAAACCTTATAAGCCTCATACCCATTTCTCATTGTATTCACTTATGATCCACTTTATTTTGGTTTTTGGTCTCCTTGTAATTTTTCTCTTCCCTCTACAACTTTGTTTCTTGTTTGTTTGTTTGTTTGTTTGTTTTTTGCAGTCCAAGAAAAAACAAAGAAAAGAAGATTTACCTCCAGGTTGAAAAACAAGACACTCCACTGCCCTAAGACAGATCTGCCGTGGTCTGGCTTTGGTAACATGAGGCAAGAGTCAGCTGACCTGCCTCTTGTCACAAAGCCTATAAGACTCGACCTCACTTCCTTCTGAGCCCTTTTAACGCAGATCTGTAACCGAATGGAGTTTTCTGCGCTACCGGCTAAACTTCGCCTGTGGGACCAAACCCTCCAACCCTGCCAGTTCACTCTCCCCCAGCTTTCCTTGGACAATGGCCATTGGTTTGCTGGGATGCGAATTCTATCTCTGTACTTCTTTATTCTGTTTCCTTCTCCACAATAATATCAAACCAAAACACATGGGGGAATTGTGGCCCAGGGAAACAGGAAAGATCTAAAAAGCAATGAAACTGAGAGCTGGGAGACTGTTTTCTTAAACAAATAAAATATCCAAAGGAATATCAAGCTATCTAGAACGTATGTCAAGAACTTTAAATAGTCTTCTTTTGGTATCATATGTGAAGAAATTTTAAAATACATTGGTAATTATCTGAATTAGACTTTAAGAGAACCTGAAATACAAGGGTCAGGAAAAACACCCTGAGTAATCACTGAGTAACCGTGTTCTCTACACTTAGGTTAGATAGTGCAATGGTGTGCTTTCTACAGAAGATCCTGAGAGGAGTTTAATAAAAATTGGTGTTGCCCTGGCCGGGTGGCTCAGTCAGTTGGAGCATTGTCCCCCAACCCAAAAGGTGGCAGATCCCTGCTCAGGGCACATGCCTGGGTTGCAAGTTAACGGTTGCAAGTTAACTGATCTCTCTCTCTCTCTCTCTCTCTCTCCCCCATTCTTCTCCTTCCCCTCTCTCTCTCAATGCAATAAAAAAAAATGTATCCTTAGATGAGAATAAAAAAATAAATAAAAATTAAAAAATAAAAAGCGGTGTTCTTGTTGGCACCATTAAACCACAGGTGATGGTGTTTTGGTCTGGTAGAAATTTCTCCGAGTCGGCAGATTTAAAATGCCACACTCTCGTTTCGCCGAAGCGCTACAGTAAACAGAGTTAACGGGCACCGACACTGTAGGACCCGTGATGAGAAACAGGTCTCTGCCCTGGTCCACCTCTGCCGGCTCCTCGGAGGTGATTTTCCACGGGCGTAGCTGCTCTTCCCTTAGACTTATCTCCACACCTCGGAATGACTTACTTTATACTAACAGTTCTTGCCTTTTTTAGCTATAAATATCACCTACTGACTTTTTCACTGCACACAGGGAAGATCGCTCTTCCCCCTCCCTCGTCCCAGTGCACAGCTCCTCTCCTCCCTTAGGAGGCGGCTTTATCGCAATTGCATGAAATCAAAGAGTCGGCGCTCACAGCCTCACGGCCACGTGACTGTTACTAAAAGCCGAGCCACGTCGTAGACCACGATTCTCCTTCCTTCCTCTCACGTCCTGCTCTTCCCAAACCTTGGCTTTACTACCTTGTTTTCCACGTGCTCATCGTTCACTCCCTCCCCTCCATCCCTGACAGGTCAGTCTGCCCTCTGCACCCCGCACCCCAGGTGGGTTCCCGCTCCTCTTTCCCTGAGAGACTCCCGCCCGGAGCCCGCAGTCCCCCTGCGCCCGCGTGGCCCGCTGCCCTCTGGGCCTGCTGCCCACCTGCTGCCCTTGGCGCCCCCGTTCTCTCTTACTGAGCATCCCCAGTGCCTCCTTCCTGGGTCGAGTCCGCCTCCTAAATCCCGGCTCATCCCCGGTCTTGGTTTCCTCCTTCATTGTGAAGAAGCGCGTCTCCCAATGTCCCTCCTGAGGAAGGGCACGCCTCTGTCCCTCCGAAATCTCTTCTGCAACATCAGGAGTGGAGACCTGCCTGCCGACTACCTGTCCCTGTCCCTAAGCAACCTGGCTTTCTGAAGTCTCCGCCAGGGGGTGGCAACAGCCAGATAGGAAGGCAGGTGCAGAGGGGGCCCCTTCTTCCCCGTATCCTGAAGTCTGGCCATGAACCACCGGGACAGAGGCTCCTGGTTCCCAGCTCAGTGGCACCGGCGCAGCTCCAACAGTGGCAGTGACCGCAGAGGTGGCGCCTCGGCCCCTTCCCGGCAGGAGCAATGGCCTTTTCTGGCTCCGGGTAACGCCGCCTCCCACCCTACTGCGCGTTTCTCCCTTTGCCACATGTTTTTGTAAACAAGTATCCGTGTCAAATTGCCTCTACTTGAAATACTCACAGTGGCTTCTGTTTTGCTAATGAAACACAGATAGATATTCTACTTGAAACCACGAGAAGACCCCACCCAGAAAATAAATGCCCGAATATGGGAATAGACGGTCTATTCAGTGACATGACCGGGTTGACACGTTGATGACGTTCTTGGCAGGAAGAAGTGGGGCACTGACAGTGTCCATCCATCGCCCGTCATGGCAAAAGAGTTCCTTAAACTACACTGCGGGGACCCGGCATAAAGTGCCTCTTCGGAGCCTCTGTGGGAGGCCAAGGGGCAGTTGAATTTGGTCACTGCCGCGGAAATTAGGACCTCAGCAGCTTTGGGCTAGGCTGGTAGCCTCTGATGCGGCTGGAGAAAGATAAAAAGAAAACAAAATTAGGGCTTTCCGTACCAAGTTGAACCACTGGCAGAGGAGTCAAGAGCCCCCTGTGAAGGTCCCATACGATATTCTGAGGTTTGTGGAGGCCAAGCTGTTACTGAAAGGCAAACTTTAAACTAGACCCTCTGCATTACAGAACTGCATCATAGGTTGACGTCACAGCTTAGCCTTGTCTCTTCATGAAAGTTACACAGTGGGAGAGGAGTGGGCCGTGAGAACTGGAGTGGAGACAGCGGGTGGATGCCGATGCACGTGTCTTGAACCTCTCAGTCCCCTGACCACCCCCCCAACCAAAAGAAGCATCCTCTTGCTTCCTTTTTGGAAGAAAAAAAGTTCCCTCCCTTGCTTGAACACTTTCGATGACCTCATCTTACAGTCACCTTTAGAGGGGATGCCAGTGCTTTTCAAGGTTCCACCGCCCCCATTATCGTCCCCAGACACACCTAGATTCCAGCAGGTCTCAGGGAGAGAGGCAGAGTTCCACCTCCGCAAACCCGAAGGAACACTGGCACAGAAAAAAGAACGGGAGCTCAGAGAAGGCAGCACCATGAACATTCTAAAATCAGCACTTCTGTTTCTGTGTGCAGAATTACACACCATCCGTCTCCTGTAGGCAGGCAAACCGGCCAGCAGTTGGGTTGAAGGGCGGCGGTTTGCAAAGGGGGACAGCTAACACCGTGGAGCACCGGCGTGCGGGGCTGGGCTCGGTGCTCTCTGGACGCAGCCTCCTCGTGGGTCTCCCCTCCAGCTCTCAGGTGAGCTGGGCTGCAGGTCTCCAGGGACCCAGTGCCTTGGGCTGCTCAGAAGGCGGTGACCCCAGCAGGACCCAACACTCTGGAGGGAAGGAAAGGAGGTCGGCCCAGCCGACCCTGTGACCTTGTGGCTTGTGGGTGGAAGGCAGGGCCGCAGACCACTCTGTCCAGACTGTCCCACACTAGCTCGGCAGGACCCCTGTGAACCACGGGCCCGTTTGTCAAGAAGAATAGTTTCAATGTAACCGAAAGCAAAACAGCGTGCTCATTTATCTTCAGTGAGGAACAAAGTCTCTTCTTTAAACATCGTTCTCCTGATGGGGGCGCTACATGCTCTCACCTGTCAGCACGAGGACTGTCCACACCTGTAAGAATGTTTGAGTGCATTTCAGCCAAACCGACAACCACTCCTGAGAAACAAAACCTCAACAGACTGCGAAAGTGCTCCAGAGAATGGCGGTTTTGTAGCTCACTTTACACGGGAGAATAAAAGGTGTGCTATCTTAGACGCAAAAAGGCCGTAGACAGGATGCACGTGGGTAAGGAAGGTACGTGACATTCACCGGTGGTAGATTAGGGGGCAGGAAGAAGCGAAGCCGGGTGGTCTTGGAGACCAGAAAGACTCAAACGGAGAGACACACACCTGGGGAGAGCACATGCCACACCGGGGTGGGGGTGGGGGGTTGGGGACGGCACAGAAGTGTAGGTGGGGCACATGGGGACAACGAGGGGCTCTGTGGGCTTGTGCCCTGGGACAGCGGGGGCACCTGGAGGGGTCTGGGAAGGGGACCGTTCCCACATTCCAGAGAGGTATGTTCTCAGATGCACAGACAACAGACAGGCTGACTTCAGGCAAAAATGGACCTTTGTCCAGGCAGCTGCAGGCCTGGGACACGACGAGGCGCCATGGTTGACTTTTAGTGAGGAGCTTCTCCGTTCAGATCATCCACGGGGCTCCTTCCCGTCTGAGTGTGTGGGGCCGCCAGGCGGGCTCCCCGAGCCTGTGCGGATGAGCATGTGACCCTCTCCCTGGACATTTTAGAGACAGTTTTGTCTTCAATGGTCAAAAGAGCAATAGAGTTAAAACTGAGACTGGGGGCAACTTCTAGTTTTCTTCTTCACCATTTTGACATTTCCCCAGTTTCCTGTAACGGGTGTGCATAAGTACGTATATGATACATATGTTTGTTCCGCACATTTGCTACATACAGTGGTACGCATGTGGTACGCAGGTCACAGGTAGCCCGTCCCTGGTCCCCCCATCACACCTGGAGTGACAGCTGTTCCAGAGTTCATCTTAGTTCCTTGTTTTTATCTTCTCTCCCCCGACCCTTCCTCTCTCACTCACAGATGTACACATCTCTACTTTTTTCATCTCTGTTTTATATTTTATTTTCTGTTCTCTTCCTTTTCCTTTGGGTTTATTTTGTGGTTTTCTAGTTCTCCCTCCCAAGCGGCCAGAAGTAGAAATCCTCCAGGGTGTCATTTATTGTCTCTCAGAGACACATAATGCACTCAGAGCATTCGGTTTTAATGTAATATTTCTACCGTTTGCAAAACTTATCTTTAGCCATTATAATTCACCACTTGGGGGTTTACCTCTCTGAAACATTATTTTTCAAGTTATTCTCTTTGTCACTTTTATGTAGTTGCATTTACACATAATTCTATCTGTTTTTAACCACATTTGATCCATAATTATAGCAAGTAGCAAAATGTACTTTCCTAACCCAGATAAAACGATACATGTCACTAATCAAGGCGGTTAGCAGCGAAGGAAAGATCTTACAAGCTCCCAGTTGTGAAACCAAATGGACCGTAGCAATTTATCACATGTTTATCAGAAGAGAAACCCTGAGTGCACTTCAGGGGTCTTTGGTTACTGAAGAGTCGTGTTCTTTAGACCTGTTAGGAAAACCATGTTGGTTCAGTCAACCTAACAGTGCCTAAGAATCAGAACGTAATCAGATTAAATGGACTATTTGGAAGTATTCATTCAAAGCAGATGATCATAATAAAAACCTGGTAACAATTACTTGAAAATGGGGCTTAGACTAGCATTTCTTCTTCTTCTTTTTTTTTTTTTGGCACACTTTTAAAAAACAATGTTCTAGTAGTCAGAATGGGAAGGGACGCTCACTCGCCTATGTTGCAACCCAACGCTGTCAGCGAGATTAGCCAGGGCGAGAGCCTTCCTCACTCTCATTAGAAATTGTACAAAGTGAGCCCTGGCCGACAAAGAATTAAGTGGCCAGCTTTGACTGAGTCATCTGGTCAATACTCTGACGCTGATTCTGGGGTTAAAGCCGCAACAATGTACTGCAAGCCAGCCTGTGGCTGCAAGAGTGAGCCGCCTTCAGCATGGGATCGGAGGGAGCAGCTACAGGAGCAAAGGAAGAGAAATGCACGGGAAGAAAAAGAAATTCCACTTCACCTTCAGACCTTTGGTGAACCTGGACTCCGTGGCACCCTTTCAGGATCAATACAAAGTCAATACAACCTACCTCTGGCTGTCACGCTGTCATAGGTTTGAGCCCTTGCTCTTCTTGGAGAAGGATATCGCAAACAAAACATCTGGGACCAGGCCATTGCCTATTTATCGAGG